ATTTCCGTGTTGCGATAGTCAAATGCATGCCTAATAGTGATAACAACTGAATAACAAGAGTTGGTTAAGTCAAAATGGTTGGCCTGAGTCATTAATTCAACTGAAAATGTTAAAAGTTCACACATAAAATCCACATAATACAACGTTTGCATATGAGCTTTTGATGGCAACGTTTACATAATACACATAAAATGTTAAATGTTAAAACGTTTACATAATATAACTGAATAACAACGTTTACATAATACAAAGTTCACACCATATGAGCTTTGGATTTTGATGAGGATCCATATTTTGGTAGAGGAAAAGATGATTTTGATGGCACTGGTGATCCACATGTCAACCTTGTATGACCACTTTCCTTGCACCGACTACATGTCGATCTCTTCTTCTCTTCACCCTTAGACGGTATACGATCGTGACTTTTTGGTCGGCCAGGTAGCCTTCTGTCCATGGCTGGTGGCAAAACTGTTTGTAAGTCATCTGGTATGTCCCACTCAGAAGGATGTGGAATAGGGTAGACAATCTCGGCATAAGTCTGTCGATAAACTTCTGTAGTGTAGCAATCCATAGCGTATGCGCTTGAATCATCTTGGTTTAAATGAAGAGCAACTTTTATAACATGGCCACACGGATAACCAGATGTTTGCCATTTCATACAACTACACGTCTTTGCATTTAGATCGACTAGCCCATTTAAGTTATTATCCAGTACTTGAAACAAAGTGTTTGAACATGGTTCAACTCTCCATGACGTTGACTTCACAACACGTTTCGTTATCTTTTTTTCAGTCCATGGTGTAACACGATGTTCCAATGTTCCTGTAAATTTAAATAAACAATACTTAGTAAAATATATAAATATGATAAGTTACGAATTCAAAGAAATAATACCTGCATGGTTTCTTTTCTTGTAGTACCACTGTTGAATAGAGGTTCGAAAAAACTCCATTAACATAGTAATGGGTAATTTCCGGGAATGACGACTTAGAGCGTTGATTGATTCTGCACTATTAGACGTCATGAAACCATATCTTACTCCAAGTTGATGTACTCTTGACCATCTTTCAAACCCGACATCTTCTAGTGTTTGAGCACACTGAGGCAAAACACGTCTTAAACAATTTATATGCTTATTGAAATCCACTTCCCGATAAGCTTTTACAGCCTTCCAGTATGTCCATTTGTGCTTTTTTATACCAGCAGACCTTGATTTTAGATTTCTATACAAATGAACACCACAAAGTCCATGAAAAGCATCTGGGAAACACCTTCTAACATCGTTGTCAATTGAGTTTGCCCTATCGGATATGATTGTCAGATTGCTAATAGGACTTATGCAATCCCTAAGATGCCCCATAAACCATGTCCATGAATCAGAGGTTTCAGATTTGCCAACCCCGTAAGCTATTGGCAATATCCCATTGTTAGCATCCATGGCTACTGCTAATAAGTTTACTCCAAGGTATCGACCTTTCAAATGTGCTCCGTCAACTATAATAACTGGGCGCATGCAAGTAATAAACGAACGAATCTACAAAATAATATACACAAGAAATATAATCATTTAAATGTGAAATGCATGTAACTAACAAAAATGAGTCAACAAATTATATTGATTTACTAACCGTAGCACCAATGGCGATAAACAGCAACTCAAAGCGTCCATCTCTATCTGTTTTGATATGAGTTACCGACCCAGGATTTTTCAGCTTTAAATTGTGACAATAAGCCGGCAGTTGGGCAAACGATGCTTCTGGCGACCCCCTCAACAATTCCAAGGCATAACATTTGGCTCTCCAAGCTTAAGAATATGATATACTAATCTTGAACCGAGCATTCATGTCAGTCATAATTTCATGTCCCCGATATACCCTGCCATTCAAAAACATTAACTCAGCCAGAAAACCACCCAACACCTTTTTGTTTGCCTGTCTATGGTGAGGAAAAACTTGGGTTCTTGAACATGTATGTTTATCAATAAAAGTCCTAACTTGAAACATTTTGCAATCTTTTATTCTCTTTGCAATCATACGCCACGTACAGTTTTTGTCAATCATACACCTTGTTTCGAAACGATCTTTGCTTGATTTGTTAACTTTTAGTTGATACCCATCTTCCACACATTTCGTATACAAAGCTATCTTCAAGTCTTCCTTTGTATCAAAACAATCATCTTTCTTGATACGAATAACTTTTGTGTAACAATCAACTGCTTTCTTTATCAACTCTTCTTCCGGTATCTGAAGTAATTCTGGCATATTCCAGTTATACGCCCGTGGCATTTTCTTTTCTTCGGGGACTTTTTCTTCTTCTTTTTCTTCTTCAGGATTATATGAATTACAGAATGGATGTTCAACATGTTCATTCACAGTCGTAACTTCCTCCTCATTATCATCATCAATACATTCTTCGGCAACGGCTGTTTCATCATCAAAATTCGGGTATTGACCAATATCAAAATCATTACACGCAGGGTCTGTTTCTTCTTCTGAAACATCATCAAAATCCGTGTATTGACCAATATCAAAGTCCGGATATTGACCAAGACCAAATTTCGAATACTGACTAGTACTCACAATTTTTTCTGTTGGCTCATCATCGTCTAACTGGTCAATACGAAAACCGGAATTTGGTGCTGAAAGTTGATTGGGATTTGGATTAGAGAAAGGTTGTGGGTTTTGAGAAAAACTTAGTTGATTACTACCCGCTACTGACCCAACAATACTACTTCTAGGTTCAACAACATACAATGTAACATCATATTGTGAAACACTAATGTAAGCAATGAATCGTTCAACATCTTCATTGTCGGTTAACAAATAAACTTTACCATTTCTCTGATAAGATAGCCTAAATCCACTTAGGGGCTCTAAATTCAATTTATTTGAAACACGTAGCATTAGAGTTTCATAAGTTAACTTTTGTAAAGACAATTTTAGTTGAAGATTCATGGGTAAAGGCATATATTGTAAAACACCATTAACATTATCCCATGACCCTCCAAAACACAAATCTATCCAAACATGATCAACATTAGATGATTTCATGGTTGTAAATTAATTTACTAAACAGACGAGCTGCGAAACTAAAACCTGTTGCCGGATTGGGAAGGATGTCGTTGGATATAGGAACGGATGTCGCCGGAGAGAGTGATAGATGGAGATGGAATGAGTTGCGATTTAGGGATTTAGTTTATGATTTCAGTGTCATATACCCAAAATTTCAGTGTTGTGATTTACAGACATATGCCCTACCGGATTTACAGATTCTCGTTGCGATTTACGGATTATCGTTGCGATTTACGGATTCTCGTTGCGATTTACGGATTCTCGTTGCGATTTACGGATTATCGTTGCGATTTACGGATACGCGTTGCGATACGGATACGCATTGCGATTTACCCATACGCGTTGCGATTTACGGATACACGTTGCGATTTACGGATACGCGTTGCGATTTATGTGTTCGCGTTGCGATTGTCATATTCGCGTTGCGATTTTGTAAAATCGCAATGCGAATTTGTACTATCGCATTGCGATTTTCAAGAATCGCGTTGCGATTTTGGAAACTGATTTGCGATTCTGGGGATCGCGTTGCGATTTTTATTCCGCGTTGCGATTTTATTGGTCATTTTGGCAAATCCAAAAAAAGTTGGTTAAAATCGTATATTATAACTTTTTTTTGGTCACTGAGGCGATTTTCTCTTAATTATATGATGTTACTTTGTTGAGTCATCCGACTATTAAAAGTTACAAAATGGTCACCCGACTATTCGGTATGTTCCGAACTCCTTTTTTTCTATTAAAAATTTGACAACAGTCTAAGCTAGATGTTAACTTGTTGACTGAGATATGATATTTTTTTTAGATTTTGGGCTTATATTTTATCATACCTTAATAATCAAGTTAACATCCAACTTAGAATGTCGTCAATTCTTTTAATAGAAAAGGACGAGTTTGGAATAGTTAGGTGACCATTTTGTAACTTTTAATAGTTAGTGACTCAACAAAGCAAAACCCTATAGTCAGGAGATCATTTTATAACTTTTAATAATTGAGTGTTTAGACAAAACATCACCTTATAGTTGGAGACTATTTATGTACTTTAGTTATTTAATTTTTCGTACAAGAACATAAAAAATTGGATAAACTATAAGTTTTTATTTTTTAATGATAACATGACATTATTTTATAGTGAAACGTCAATCTCATCATTAAATTTTTAACTATGGGTACCAAAATGAAGCTTAAACTAAACATTAGATATGATTTTAAAAAATAAAGTTTGGGTACCTAAATAGAACAAAAATAATGGTTTAAGTACTGAACATATAGTATACCCTAAAAAAATACTGATTTTGTATTTCTCAGAATAGAATAGAATAAGTTGTAAAGTCTTCATTCTTCCATCATAAAATATTACGATAAAACCATCACCACCACAACAAAAATAAGCTCCTTCTACTAGTAAGAGATTTATTGAAGTGATCCAAATTCAATTGAGTGTAAAATTTTAAAAGTAATTAAGTAATATTATATTTACTTATTAGAGTTGTTTGAGCTTATATTTAATTTTAGTATATTTAGTAAAATACCACTCGTGGATGTATTTTGAGATTTAAAGGAGCGATGTGTTTTATTATGATTATGTAATAATTACGTATTTGACACCTTTTAAAACGTATATTTTCTATTATTTACTTTAATTTTATTTCTAATTTTCTATTTATTATTTCATAGAAATAATAAAATTAATATATATATATATATTTAATCTTATATTATATTTAGTTTATAACCCATTTCCCTGTTTTATATATTATTTTTTTGCATGTCATCGGTACATTCCAAAACACAAATCGCTTTTCAAGGCTTTGCCTTCAACATCCATGTGAGCCTGAAACATCTTAATCCATGATATTCTTTTGCTTGAACGCTTCTAATTACGTATCTCTCGGATAATATCTCCACGAGATGACTCAAAACACCAACTTTCTCATCAGGGGAAGGTGGCTTCTGTTTCTCTTTAATTTTCAACCACAAAAACTGTAAACCAAGCTCTTATCATGAACATGAACATGGTGGATTTTCAGTCTCAGTTCTATCTTCCAATGGACTGGGATTGGTTGGTTGAGTTCCTAAAAGGCATGGTGAAACCAGTGGCTGCCCTTGCCGTGGTTCTCATTGCTGTCATCTTATCTTTCATGCAAAATCTGGGTTTGGAAAAAGAGATGGTTTATTCCATTTTCAGAGCTTTTCTTCAGCTTTCTGTCATTGGGTTCGTCCTTCAGTTCATTTTTAACCAGGACAACACTGGCTGGATCCTTCTTTCTTATCTTTTCATGGTTTGTCTTTTCAAATTCTTCATTAGATTTTCTACAATTCAATTCAATTTTGATTCTTGACTTGAAACTTGCTTTTGGATCACTTGTAAAAATCAATCCCTATTAATCTGCAATTTGGGACATTTGTTTAGATGGATCATGTTCATCAATGTTCTTGATTGCCTAGTAAGTTTCACTAATGGAAACATGGATTGCAGGTTTCGGTTGCAGGATACACAGCAGGGCAACGTGCTAAGCATGTTCCCCGAGGGAAGTATGTTGCTGGAGCATCTATCCTGGCAGGAACAGCGTTGACCATGTTTGTTCTCGTTGTATTAAATGTTTTCCCTTTCACTCCGAGATACATTATCCCCGTCGCCGGAATGATGGTCGGAAACGCTATGACAGTAACTGGAGTTACCATGAAAAGACTTCGAGATGATATCAAGATACAACTGAACCTTGTAAGTTCCATGTTCCAACTTTCGTTGTACCAACTATCTGTCAGTTGTTTTCTGCAATATTACATCTACCCGTCAATTGGTACCAAGTTACCATGAAACATTTTCTTTCTCTGTTAATGAGTTCGTTATATCGGTTTTTCGCAGGTGGAGACGGCGTTGGCACTTGGGGCGACACCGCGTCAAGCCACACTGGAACAAGTGAAGAGGTCTCTAGTGATTGCACTGTCTCCGGTGTTGGACAATGCCAAAACAGTGGGTTTAATATCGCTTCCAGGGGCAATGACAGGCCTAATAATGGGAGGGGCTTCGCCATTAGAGGCAATACAACTGCAGATTATAGTGATGAACATGCTAATTGGTGCATCTACAATTAGCAGCATCATGTCAACTTACCTCTGTTGGCCTGCTTTCTTCACTAAAGCATACCAATTGGAGACTAAAGTGTTCTCTTCAGATTGAACAGTTCCAATATTTTCACTTTTCTGTGTGAAATTGTAGAATATATATGTAAGATTCACTTTTCTTTCTTTGACATGATTAATTTCAGATGCACCAGTTTTTGCCAGGTATTGATCCCTTCACTTAAGTATTGATTCTCATCCATAATCCCTAAACTTACGTATTTTTGCACTTTGGGTCTTTGATAGTTTAATTTTTAACGAAATTAAACTCGATTTTTCAATGCTCCTCTCACATTCATGATACCAGGTTATAACCAACATTATACGCTCAAATTCAATACTCAATTTTTTTTCATAGTTACAGTTGTTCTTTCGACGAGCATTTCAAGAATTCAACAATTTCAAGTCAACGCCAACTATATTAGACATATATTTATGATTTTTTTTTTGATAAGATGTATGTATTATATCCAAAGAAGCAGCAAGTTGCTACAATCAACAAATAAATCAATTTCCTACTAACAACCTCCCTAATAGAACAAATAAGGTCCTCTTCATTCTTAACAACATTACTAAAGCATCTTCTATTGTGTTCTTCCCAAATAAAGTATATACAAGCATCCACACAAACTTGAGAAGGAGAATATAAGGGGCTTTGCCTTTAAACATAGCAATCGCCCAAGTCATCTCACATTCCCACTCCCAAGCCTTGCGCCAAATGCCACATAACTCCAACACAGCCATCCAAATCTCTGCCGAGAAAGTGCACTTGAAAAAAAGATGACTCCTCGACTCCACCTCAGTTTTACACAACACACAAAGGCCATCAACTGTCACACCCATGCACATCAAACGATATTTCGTCTTCAACCGATCAAGCACAGTCAACCAAGAGATAATAACACGCTGAGGAACACGCATCGGAAAATATATATTTATGATTTTGTTAGAGTTAAGTTTTTATATAATTTCATTATATAAGATTATTATCTTGGAACAAATTGGATATCAATCAAACAAAATATTCCCATCTATGGTTGGTTTATTATAAAGTATTTTAGAAGAAGCAAAGTAGAGATGAAACTGGACTAGACTTCTCTTAACTTGCCAGGCGATATCTGAGCTTCACCTGCTCTCCAACAAACCTACCCTTATATGTCAAGTGTTTGTAAATTAACCAATTTTCGTCTTATGTCTCTTGGTTTTTGTATCGGTGAATAATATATTAAAGGAAAAATCTTTTGCATATGTTAACGAAACATTTTTTTATTATTTGTTTTTTTTAAGTCGCATTGCTGTAACGTATCGGAAAATATCATAGACAGACTCCTGTTGGATAATCCAACTTAAGAGCTCATTGGTCCTGGTTGATCTAATGAGTAGGTCTCGTCGGTAAGTTGTTATTATGGTCACCCGAATCCGATGGGACAGAAACTCCGAATGTAGAGGAACGGATACGTTATGTTTTGTCAGTTTCAACTTGTTGAATGGGCATGTCTTCATCTGCTGAGACCATATTGTATCAAAACCTACGATGGGACCTATGTGGGCATGATTTGAACTGAAAGTCTTGCATTGATTACTTGAGAGTTGATAGGAGGAGTTACAAGTTGTCTAAAACTGCTTTATCCTTAAAATATATCATATGATAATTTAAAATTCATAGATAATACAAGACACTAGTTTTCTCTCATTAGTAAGCTGATCATCTCTTTTTTTTTTTTTTGTCTTTATTGATTGACGGCGGCACTAACTTTAATGTTGGTTACCGGCCGTCGGTATTCTTTATTGTCCTTTTATTTTATTTTGATTTTATTTTCAATAATTCTGTTTGTATGACACATTTTTATTTGCATTTATGACACGTTTTCTTCTTTTGTTTTTCTTTTGGTACATTTTCCGGCTATTTGGCTGTTGTTTTTTCTCATCTTTTTCTAGGGGTTGATTAGATATCGCCATGACTGATCAAGATGGTGTTTATCTGTTATATTATTGATATTCCCTGCTTTGGACCATCGGATTGAATTTGGATACCCGTTTTGAGTTCGTGGATAGCTTTTCACATCGGCTTGAGTCTGATTTGCGGTTTGTAGATGGTCTTTCAATAGCTTGATCCCCTTTTGTGGTTAGTTTACCGATGCAATCAGATCTGTTTGTATCTATCTTTGTTTGAGTTTTCCTGGTTAGAATTTAATATTTTCTTTTAGGTCTTTATGTGATTTTAAGTTGCTAGTTTTGTTTCAATGATTATAGAAAATTATCCTATTGTGTGTTTAATTTACGATTATGATTGTAAATTTTATCGTAATTTATGATATTTCCTATTTTGAATAAAATTAGTGATATATTTAGAAAAAAAATATCATATGATATATAAAAATCATAAAATATAATATTTCAAACACAAAAAAAAGTGTGGACTTCTAACCAGGCTACCTCATACGTTATTTTATCTCTTCTTTGTTTGACTTATTGTGATGAGTTTTATTTCTTGTACTTTATTTTATCTTCTTTTATTTATTATGATTTCTTCTATTTAACTCTTTAGATACTTTACTGGATTTTTTATTCTTTTTAAATATTGTTCAGATTCATAATTTTAATTTCATCTACCGTGAACCTAGTTATCAATACCCATGTCCAAAGCCTTGCTTATTTATGCAGCAAATTGTAAAGCACAGTTATCCACAAATGGTTAAATTAAAATTTGATCCCTCAACTTTCAAACCTTTTCAAAATTTCCTTTTCGGTTTAACTCGATAATCAACCATTGTTAAATGAGTTCACAAGTTGATTCCAAACCACTTAAAATAAGTTGATGGCACTCTGTCACTAGACATCGATATTTTGAAAATGGTCGGTAGAGATCACATCAAAATTTGAACTTAAAATTTTCGGTACATTATAACCTCAGTATTTTCAAGCATAACTACTTCACCTTCCAATAAACTTTCTTAAACTAGTGCTTCAATTATCAAGCAACATAAAAAGCAAACATAATTCAGCCCTTTTTCAACAATTTGTCATCATCATCACCATCATATAAACACATTTGAATTCTAATTTCCATTATTTGACATTAGTTGAATCATCCTCACTCCAAACGTTTTTGCAATTTCATAGCACAATAAATATTGTGAATTTGTAGCTCTCATTTTACCCGAATTTGAATACAATATGAGTGTGTTTCAGCATGTACATTCTCAAAAGAAAATAAAAACATAATTTTAAAGAACCATACCATCATTCTCATCATGACAACACCACATCAACTAATATTCTTTGCAACAAACTTAACTGCGGGGAACATTTTATCTTACAAACCAAATGGACATGAAATTCCGCTCTAAGCACTAAAAGCCTACCCCAATAGGGAAGAACAAACGTGACGCATGGAGCACTGAAAATGATGGAATATGCCAATAAGATGAAAAAACAAAATCCAAGGTCAACCGTCTTAAAGATATCTGCCAAATTGTACTCCAAACATTCACTACCTACAATCAGAGACCATCTATGGAGCTCAATCCAGAGAACATAAGCTTAAATATATGGGTCGAGTAGAGAAAACACCTCTACCAATAATCAGCCTGGATCAAACTAAGCTCAACGTGAAATACTAGTTTAATGCAGGAAAAAGAACATCTAAGTTATCTACCACACAACAACAGCTCACTATAATTCAGACATGTCTACCATTGCAGAACCGAATAAACTTGAACTCTTTTTTTTTAGGAATATTAGGCCTCATTAAAAACCCCCTTCATGATTAATGAAACTCTGAAAAAGTTTTCCTTAATCAGCGGAAGGAGGAAAAGAGTGCATTGGATTTTATTAATAATAAACTTAATACAATATATTACAAAAACCTAAAACTCCTTGAAGGAAATCGACAACCTAAATAGTTACAACCTTAAAAACAACATAAATATTAACCAATTCCAGCCTTAGCTAGAGTGTCCGCCTCTAGATTAGCTGCCCTATTAACCCATCTAATAACACCTTCACACAGTCTAAGTTTTTCAATAATATCTTTAACAATGTAAGCATAAACAACAGGACATGAAACGAAATCCCTAACCCAGTCAACTGCCACCCTGCAGTCACTCTCAATTATCAACCGATCCTTTAATATGTGTCGTATATAGTGTGAAAGAAAGATAAGCCCTTTAGGATAGATTTCAATTCCATCAAAGTAGGAGGACCAGGACCTACGGATTCCTTGTAAGAGTCAATGATTGTCCCGTTATCATCTCTCAAAACACCACCTATCCCACTTCTCTTCCAGTCAGTAGTAGTAGCAGCATCGACATTTAATTTGATGAAGCCCTTTGGGGGAGGGGACCAATTAATCACAGTTGCAATCAGTTTGGAGTTAGGAGAACAAGAATCCCCTAAGGAAGGATATGAAATAAGCAAATCCTTATAGATCGAAAACTGTTTGTACTTAGTTAAGTACCATGAAGCTAGCCTGAATCTAGCTAAAAAGAAGAGTTCTGCTTGATCTACCTTTCCTCCTTCAAAAACAATATAATTTCTGAATTTCCAAATTGTCCATAGGACAACCCCTGTAATAAATGACCATATGGTTGAATTAATCCTCAAATCAGCCCATGCTAGGAGAAATATTTTTGCATCAACATGAAAGACAGATTAAATGTTCCAGAACCTAATGAATTTATTCCAAATGCTCCAAACCACCGAACAAGTAAAAATAAATGGGAGGGTGTCTCATCAAACTGCTTGCAAAAAGGACACAACAAGTCATCTATACCCATCATACCTCTTTTAACAAGAGCTGACTTCACTGCCAACTTATAACAACTTGCCATACAAATCCACTCCAAAACATTCTTCCAAATTAACATCTGATGAACTTGAGGTCCCTGAATAACACTGACTAACACAAGATTTCACAGTAAATACCCTCTCCAGTGCCTTTCAGACCAGTACGTCAGATGAATCAACCGAAAGGGAAATATTTGAAATATTGTCATCAAATTAGACCACTGCTCATATTCCCAATCATTCAATTCCCTTCTTAAATGTATATCCCAAAACCAGTTGCCTGAGCTAAATCACCAAACTCAGATAATTTTCCAGTTTTTTAAGGAAATGGAAAACAATCTCGGAAAATGCTCTTAATGGTTGATCCATGCCCAAACATCTTGCCAAAATCGAATGCTACCCCATCGCCAACTTGAACAGAATAATTGCTTCTAATTTTACAGCCAGTAGGGTCTATTCTGTAATGATGTTTACCACGGATCTCCAAATCATGAAAATTTGGGTGTAACTTATTGTCAAATAGCATAAGAAGAGTCTAAATTGTATTTAGAACAAATCAATCTCCTCAATTCCGCATTTCTTTCATTAGCAAACCTCCAAGACCATTTTCTATAAAGCTCTGTTTACCTTGTCAATGTTTGGAACCCCAATCCACCTTCGAATTTCGGTTTGACACATTGGGCCAACCCACCCAATGAATCTTGTTCTGACCATTTCCTCCGCCCCATAAGAAGTTGGACATGATAGAATTGATAGACTTGTAACCGAAGCCGGAACTTTAAACAATGACAAATAGTATGTAGAAAGCGAGCATAAGACTGAATTAATTAAAACTAACCTCCTGCCATAGAAAGAGAGGATGCCTTCCAACCTGCCAACTTTGTTGAAACTATGAACCACTGGATCCCATAGGGCAGAAGAATTTCTTTGTGCTCCAGAGGTAGTCCTAAGTATTCTGAAGGAAAGCTACCAACAGTACAACCCACCGAATTTGCCAATCTCTTATTTCCTCTTCATTCATATTCACCCCAAATAGTTTTGACTTCTTTAAATTCAACTGGAGACCAGATATAACTTCAAAGACTCGAAGTACTCTCTTCACGTTCATAACCTGCTTTTCAGATGCACCACAGAATATTATTAGGTCATCAGCAAATTGAAGGTGGGATAATTTGAAAGTTCCCTTCTCCATGCTAATAACCATACCCGAAAATAACCCTTCTGAAACAACCCTATGAAGCAAAAGATTAAGGAGTTCCCCAACTATGTTAAATAACATAGGAGACAAAGAGCAACCTTGACGAATACCCTTCGCCATTGGGAATTCCTCTGTAGGAACCCCATTAACCAAAACTGATATAGAAACTGTTGTGACGCATTTCGAGATCCAGCTAATCCATGTAGAACCAAAGTCCATTTTCCTCATTACTCTGAAAAGAATAGGCCAGTCAACTGTGTCATATGCCTTTTTAAAATCCACTTTAAAACACAACCCTTTAAACCTTTCTTCCTCCAAAAATCAATTCCCTCATTAGCAATTAAAGAGCGGTCCAAAATTTGTCGACCTGGGATGAAAGCAAATTGAGAAGGACTGATAATGTCTGAAATGCAGCTCCTTAACCTCCTTGATTAAACTTGAACTCTTCTTTTTAAAAATTCAACCTACCAAGGGAAGTTCAGGCATATTTCTCCCATCAAACAAGAGTCGTCCCAACCAAAAGGGTCACCACTAATACTGGGTCTTTTGCACAATCCTTATTTATTAATTATATCGTGTCCAAAAGGATGCAAGACAGTCCAAAAACCGGATTGTAAAATTTAAATCATTTAAGTTCCAAGCAGCAAACATGGAAGAACACATCCAAAAGGCATAACTTAAGGACAATAAATCAACATTATCATATAACCCCATCAGTTTAGTTAATACTCGTTATCTTATTAAGTAACTTTAAGTTGATGAAAAACTAAACATATGTTATATAAGTCATACATTATATTACAAGATAATTCCATTGAAAGGCAAGTGGGTTTTCTTATGTGAAGAGCAATTTAAATAGAATGAACCTACACAACATAATTCCATTGAAAGGCAAATGGAAATGCAAAACTTGGGCGTTCCTTGAATCCATACTCCATATTGACCGATGAATGCCAAAAGTAAAGCTCTCAATAGAAAACAAGCAGATAACAAATACATTAGTTTAACCACTAACCGCATTTGATGATCTCATTTAAACAACCAGTCAATCCAACACACATTCTCCCGCCCTCTAAACTCTTTCCACAGTTCCTTTTAATAAGTTGAATAGAACAATATTAGATTTCATAAAAGCAGCACACAAGCTTCTTACAGGAAAGCCATATACGATTTACATAACAAATCATTTGGAAATATCAAATTGAATAGACAACAAAATTCATTATGAGCTTCATAACAATATCATTAAGCAGAAATAGAGTACCAATATGAACAAGTTAAGTAAAACTATAACAGTAAAGAGAATAGCAGAGCAAGTTCCAGACCAGATGCAGCAATTTGTATCTGTAAAATTTACACCAAAAAAAAAACCCAACCTGCAAAACGATCCCAGTTAGCATCAAAGGTTGAAATCCAAAGTAACCTTTTATACCAATTCTCGTTTCAACAGCCAACGTGGTTCTCAAAGCTCGAAATCTTCATCTCTAAGAGCGAGCTCAGCGGCTTCTTCATCTTCTTCCTCAAGAATGAAGTACTCATTTTTCTCCACAGGCCTAAACATGTAAAAGATCACCAAATAGAACGCCAAACTTGCAGTCTCCTCAGCTGCATTGCTAACCCATTGATACCTGTAAGCTGCAATCGTCCTCAAAGCAAACACCACAATTCTCGTAAAATACAGGAAACCAATCACCACAATGTAAAACTGCCTAAACAGAGTCAATTTTGCCAAATTCCTCGCGGCCTTCCCATCAGTTTTCGAAGTTTCTCTCAACGAACGAATTGACCAAACAATTGGGAAAATAATAGCACAACAGCAGATAATATCAACCAGAAGGAACACCTGATTCCACGTAGCCCAATCTTTAATAAACGGCCCGGTTTCTCCAATTACAACCGACGCAATATTAGCTATAACTTGAAGCGGTATGACGATCATCAACACCTTTTTTTCCCTTTCTTGCAAGAAAGGCTTCAAAAACGACCAACCCGTGCCGATCAAAACGATGACGGTAAATAACAAAACGACACGATAAACTGAAAAATGTAGAACAGAACATCCCAACCGTGAGGAGTCCCGGTAACTTTAACGTAATGCTTATCTTCGGCGGCGCAGATCAGATTCAAAGCTTTGAATAACAACAATCCTGCCATTAATAAATGGATCCGATGCACGGATCGTCTGTTAGTATAACAAAGGAAGATCCAATAAGCTAAGAAGGCTAAATAGAGAACTGAGAAGACGGTATAAAGAGAAGGGAGCTGCGTTTGGCCGGCGGAGAGGTAATCTTTCGAGCCGTCCCAATCGAGGTTGTATATTTCGGTACGGACGTCCATGGAAACGCGCGTTTCGGGGGCACAGTTGGAGAAGAAGAGAGAGTATTCATTGGGGGAAGAGACGGGGTAAGAGCGGTTGAAACGCGAGAGGGGAGGCGGTGAGAGGTCGCTGAAGGTGAAGAGGTGTTGGATGTAGTGGGAATCGAGGACGCAAAAGTGGGAATTCTGTTGGATCTCGAGGAGGACTTGGAGGAGAGATTCTTCGGATAAGAGGAAGAAACCGAGGCGGGAAGGAGAAGGGATGGGGGCGTTGGCGGAGGAGGAAACGGAGACGGAGGAGACCGAGATGCTGACGTGGCCGGTGTGGGTGAAGCCAAATTTTTCGAAGAGGATCATAGGGCGGGAGTCGGATTTGATGGTTGGAGATTTGATCTCCGCCGTGGTGGATGAGAGGATTGAAAGGAGGAAGAGGAGGAGGATTACGGCGGTTTTCGCCATTTTTGGGAGGTTGCTACGGCGGTCGGGAGCGTTGTGCGAGGTGGTCGTTACGGTGATTTGAAGAGGAAAGTTGTCAAATTTTATCCGAAAATTTTCTCTATTGGATCTGATTGTGATTTTGTAATTTTTGTATATCGGAAATTTGAGATCTTGCATTGAAAAACTTTCGAGGAAGACAAATACGGTGTTGTTCTTGCCTTTTTGGGCCGCAAATTGGGCTTCCATCTTAGATGAAACGGAATGAGTTTGAGTCGGTTCAATTTAACGGGCCGTCGGACAAGTCAATATTTTATCAGAACTCTGTCTCTGATTCGAATTACTCAAATATTACGATGGGTGACTAAAATGAAATCAAAATGCAATGTTAGTGATGTTTTAAAAAATATATAGTTACGTGACTAAAACATAATCACTTGAATAATAGTATGACTAAAACGAAATCATTTAAATAATTGAATGACTAAATACATAGTTTATCCTAATTTTTTTTAACAAATTAGAAGTGTGAATCTCATAGATAGAACTCATAGCTTTAATTTGTTTTTTATAAATCCTAGGATATTTGTGTATAGAGTTTAGTAGTGTTTAGAGAAGGACACAAAATCTTACGTTAAGAGGTGAATTTATAACATTTTAGGGGATAAAATTAAATTATCAATTAAAAATATCAAAAAATATAAAATATATATTAATTTAAAATTTTCAGAGGACGACTATCCAATTGTCCCTCGGTTTATCCTGATAGTGTTTCTTTGTCGTATTGTATGATTCAAGAGTAGAGTTCTACTCTCTTTGTCGTAATTTTTTTAATGTTGAATGGATGATATCTTAACTTAGATTATTGAGATATTTCAGAAGAATTTGAAATATAGATTACTAATCAATAAAAAAATAGATTAAACGTACATGTTAATAATTAGAAATTTTGTATTATTATAGTAAAAATTAAAAAAATCATTTATGAAATTATAATTAATAATAATAATATATTTTTTCTTTTGTAGTTTATATGAATGTCCGTAAGTAATTAATATAAATCCTAGGATTTGTGTATAGAGTTTAGTAGTGTTAGAGAAGGACACAAAATCTTACGTTAAGAGGTGAATTTATAACTTTTAGGGGATAAAATTAAATTATCAATTGAAAATATCAAAAAATATAAAATATATATTAATTTAAAATTTTCAGAGGACGACTATCCCAATTGTCCCTCGGTTCATCCTGATAGTGTTTCTTTGTCGTATTGTATGCTTCAAGAGTAGAGTTCTACTCTCTTTGTCGTAATTTTTTTTAATGTTGAATGGAGGAAATCTTAACTTAGATTATTGAGATATTTCAGAAGAATTTGAAATATAGATTACTAATCAATAAAAAATAGATTAAACGTACATGTTAATAATTAGAAATTTTGTATTTTATAGTTAAAATTAAAAAATCATTATGAAATTATAATTAATAATAATAATATTTTTTCTTTTGTAGTTTATATGAATGTCCGTAAGTAATTAATTGATGGTTTGTATGTTAAAATATATATGTAGGATGAGAAATAAATCAAATCTATTTATCTATGTAGGAAAAAGCATTCACAGGTACAACATCATCGTCCTCAAACTAATTAGAATCGAGTGAATCTTTTTTATTTGTCATCATCAACATCTCCTAGACAACCTATAACATAAATCACTGATGAATCAACATTTATATATTGTTCTATCATATGTATCATTGTCAATGAGTATTGTTTTATCAATACCATAATAATCAATCCAACCAGTAACTCCAATTCACTGATGACATTTTGGATTTTCAAGTTTATCTTTCGCGATGAGATTGTTGAACAAAAACTCTGCAATCGTTTTTCTTCATAGGTCATCCACCATCATATGATTATGGCATGTTTACGAATGAATTCGGTCGGTCAACACATAGTGAAATTGATAATGTTAAAAATATTACTGACAACGTTGGATTATGTGACTATAACGATCATGCTAAAGAGCTATTAATACGGAGAAATTTTGCATCTAATCAACAACCGTCACATTATGAAATTCATTCACGTAGAAGTTACCAATAGTATAAATTTTTATGATAAATGTTAATTACAATATCTTATTTCTATATATTAATATTATATTTTAATTACATCAAATTTTTTATTCGATTTAAATAATTATATGACACTTTTAAAAGTATAAAAAAAGTGTACATACAAAAATACAATATTTTATAATATTATAATAACATTTTATTTTTTAAGGTTCAAAAGATTTAATCTAATTAATTTAAAATTTGTGTTTTCAACACAGGTGAAAGGTTGTTCGAAAAGGCCGAGGACAGTGGTTTGATGAAAAAGCATGTCTTGCCTTTTGTGCTTTTTCAAAATTTAGTGTAAATTTTAAAATTTTAAAAGATATGTTTATTCAATCACACCTTTTATGTAAATTAAAAATGCGACATATCAATTACATCTTATAAAAAATATGTTTTACAATATAAAATTTTATCTTAGTCATACAAAAATGAGTGTTACTATGTAAATAGTCTTTTTTTAATTAATTTTAAAAGCGATATTTTTGGGTAATAAAAGTAATATTAGATATAACAAAAATTCTAATAGTTAAAAGGAAATAGAAGTAAATAAAGGATGCATTAATCACTTTATAGCTTAAGTTTCAATAATTAGAATGTTTTTCCTTTCAAAGATCTAAACGCATCATTAAGACTTGGAGAAGCAAGAGAAATCGAAATACCTAAGTTACCCTTCCATGAATCATAATCCACACCACACGTCATGTTTCTCGTTTCGTTGCGCATAGTTAATGCAAAACGGAGGAGCAATTTTGTCTTTTTAAGTTATCAAGTATTTTATTGTGTGGCGGTTACGGTTAGCCCCCATCTGCCTTCTGCTGACTCGTTCTCAAAAATTTCTATTTTTTTTCTGTAAAAACTATAAGGAATTGAAGCTGTCAGAGAATCCCAACGGCGTCGGATCATTGCGTTATAGTTCATCAATCACAGTGAAGAGATAATCTTAGAAATTGTTTTGATTTCCAGCCAAGAGAGTTTGATCCTTCGTGGGATTTTTTTTTGTTCTGTAAGTTTCATGGCCGACTTTGACTGTATATTTCTATATTTGCTAAATTTTCGAATAAGAAAGTTTGGTTTGGTTTTCCACAGATCTCGCCGTTAAAATTCACTGCTGTCTGTCTGTTATCGGTCGTATTTGATTACTCTAACTGTATCACCGACATCTGTTTTCTGTTTGGTTGCTGAGAAAATTGGAGTAAAAATAATTGGAGCTTTCTTTTTCTTTTTTTGCCTTTGACCAGTGATTTTAAAAGGTAGCTAGTTTATTTTTAATTTCTTGAGTTTCTAAAGGTTCAACTTGACTTCTTTTATGAGAAATATATATGTTTTAACATTCTATATTGGAATTATACTTCATATAATATTAGTGAAATTTGGATTTTTGTATGTGTTATGGAAGTGGCAGCTGATAGAATCCCAGGCATGCTTTCCTCTTCTTTTTTTTTTTCATTTTTGTTCTCTTGCTGGTCAAAAGGGAACATCTTATGGTTTAATGTCAGCTCTGTTTTATTTTGAACCGAATGCAGATACCCGAGAGGAAGTATACATATCGTTGAGCAGAACGAGTTTGGATCTTTATATTGATTTGTGGATTCATTTCATCTTCAGAAGGATATTTTTATCTAAGAAATACTTTTTTTTTTACAAATGAATGTGGTTGGCAAAGTTGGGAGTTTAATTTCACAAGGTGTATATTCCGTTGCCACTCCTTTCCATCCTTTTGGTGGAGCTGTTGATATAATTGTTGTTCAGCAACCAGATGGGACTTTTCGGAGCACGCCTTGGTATGTTCGGTTTGGGAAGTTTCAGGGTGTTTTAAAAGGGACCGAGAAGGTTGTTCGTATAACTGTTAATGGCGTTGAAGCAGATTTTCATATGTGTCTTGATAACTCGGGCCAAGCATATTTTTTAAAGGTGGTTGATTCTGGTGTAGGAATTGAGACGAGTGGAGATATCAAAGATTCTGATGGTGGAATTGTCTCGGATTCTGAGTTGGCTCAATTGAGGGATGAATATGATGACACAAGTCAAAACCGGCTTGAAAGGGTAGAATCTGATACTATGTTCTATGACTTTCAAGATGATCAGTTCTCTCAAGAGGATTTGGTTAATTTGTCCGAATATGAGTCTGGCCAATATGAGGATTTGGATAGTGTGTGTTTTGATGAAGCACAAGGTGTAGGCTCAGAAGTTGTCTTGTTCAGAGTGGATGGCCATATAATTACAGCTCCTGTTTCGGCATCAGACAAGACTGCTGAAAATGTGCAACCAAGCAAGCCTCTGTTCCGTATAGGACCAGTTGAAGGACCACCCTTTTGTGAGGGTAATGGGGAATCTAGTTCAGGTGACAATGTGTCGGATGCTGACTATACTTGTAAGCTCAATTCTGTAGCACCTAAGGATTCCTATGATATTGTTTGCAGCTTGAACAGTGATTCTACTGCTTCAGGACACCATCAAGAAGTTTTTAAAGAAAGGGGGGAGCATGCCTGTGAAACTGAAGAAACTCAAAACCTTTCTAACCAAGAAAATGAATTTATCAGGCAAAGTGACGTTGAAGATGCATCTGTGCATGTTAACAAGGATGTTTTTAAGAGCTGCCTTGAACTATCTGAACTGGGCAGACATGGTGAAAATACCAATTCTGAAGAAATAGATAGCCCATTACAAGCTCAGAGTTCACAAGATAAACCTCCTTGCAGCCCTCCAGAAGTTGGTGAAACTGAAAATGGTGCTATTGGTGACTACCAAAATAAAGATGTACAGTATTCCTCTTGTAGGCCAAATTCTTCCTATCAAAATGGATTTCCTGATTTACCAATTGAAAAGAAAGTTTCAGAAACAGATTTTATGGGCTGTAACAATACATCTGTTAATTTGGTTATTAGTGAACCTGAATTGAGAGATGAACAGTTTGGTACATCAGCAGCAACTGAAGGGATGGATGGCGGTCTGCAAATTCGTGCACTTGGGGATAAGAGTAGGGAAAGTGAAATGGTGGAAACTAAAACAACTTGCTCTAAAGAGATAGCAGCTCATGGGAGCAAGGGTAAGGAACTATGGGCTTTGCCTCCTTTAATTATTTAACTCTCTTATTTTTGCTCTGATTCTCACCTTATATTTCCAGGATTTGAGATCTCACTCTGTGGGAATGAACTTCATGTGGGTATGGGATTAGATGCTGCAGCAGAAGTCTTTGAAGCACACAGCGTACCAGAGGAGGAATACAAAAATAATGCAATGTCAATTATTAAGAATGCAAATCTTATCATCCGATTCAGAGAGATGTACTTGCCATGGGAAAAAGCTGCTTCTATTGTTCTTGGAATGGCTGCATTTGGTATAGAGTTAGCTGTTGAGCCCCGAGATGCAATCCCTGTTGAACAGGATGAGTCATTGAAACCAAAAGATGATGATTCTATGGTCACTTCTGCATCTTCTAGCCGTAGATGGAGGCTCTGGCCTAGTTCCTTAACAAGGGTCAAAACACTTGAGAAGAACGACAGCAATAGTGAGGAGGTATTTCTTGATACCAAATCTTCTCTACAAGATTCACCATCCGATTTAATTTCAGCATCCACTAGAAAGATTGAATCTCCCGGCAAAAAGTTTGTGAGGACAAATATTCCCACCAACGAGCAGATTGCTTCATTGAATCTGAAAGATGGTCAAAATATGATTACTTTCAGTTTCTCCACCAGGGTTCTGGGAACACAACAGGTTTGAATTGTTTACTACATAATTCTTCTGGACGGTTTCCAAGGTTTGTGATATTCTAAAATCTTAGCCTAAAAAATCTGTGCATATTTAACAGGTTGATGCACATCTTTACTTGTGGAAGTGGAATGCAAAGATTGTAATCTCAGATGTAGATGGAACTATTACCAAGTAAGGATTTTATCTCCTGATATTATCACTCTGGATTGTTTAAAGTTTTCTTGTTTCACCATTATATGGACCTGTCTAAACTTATCGTTATGATATGATTATGATGACGTTGGAACTAATGAATTATACTGGACTAGGAAAGGAACAGTGTAATATAAACCATATACTTACATTCAAAGCTGAAATTATACCTTTCGTTATTATCTTTAGTATTGAAGCAGGAATGAGCATTCTAGAATTAATTTGATGTGAAATCTTTCCTCATGTATACTGAAATACAGGATTGGCATTTCAATAACCATGACATGTTTCTTTCAGGTCTGACGTTTTAGGCCAGTTTATGCCTTTAGTTGGAAGGGATTGGACACAAACTGGTGTAGCTCATCTTTTTTCTGCCATTAAGGTGTGCTTTTTCTCATTGTTTTGTTGTTCGACTTGACTTAATTGAGCTGTCGTTCTTCTGTAGACTGTCATGCATAACTAGATCTAGAAAATTGCTCCACCCCTTCTTTATATCCACGACAACTGAAAGAAAACATGTCTCATGTTTTCCTTATGATTTGCTTTTACTATTTCTTATTTATAAAATTCCGACCAATGTAAATGATGATATATTCCTTCTGGTTTTCTAATGCAAGTTTATAGAATAATTTTTGACAACCTTGTAACATGATGATGTGAACATTATCATTTTATGAAATGTATGTTTTCACTTGTTAGGTTAGATATGGGTAGTGCTAAGATTCTTACACATAAGTTGCATTTATGTCCATCTTTATCCACCACTCCACTAAGTAATTGTGCACACACAAACACAATATTGTTTGCAGAGAATACTGTTTTCTAGTATCCAGTAATATTGGAGTTTGATTTAAATGGTTAATTCTCATCCAGTGTAGTTATCTGTGGTTCTTCAATTTATTCCATTAACCAACATATTTTGACATGCATATTAACTAGATGATTTCCTTCAGTATCTGATATTCTGATTCCAAATACTAAATTGTATGTTCACAACAGGAGAATGGATATCAGCTTCTATTTCTTAGTGCACGTGCAATTGTTCAGGCATATTTAACCAGAAATTTTTTACTCAACCTGAAACAGGTATTCTAATAAGCTGACCATGATTTTTACATTTTCCTCATGTAAACAAAAAAGGCAATAGCGAAAGTATCAACCAAAGCGACAAGCTAACATTTGGAAACCATCTTGTTTAAATGGTCTGACTTTGAAATTATGTAGGACGGAAAAGCTTTACCGACTGGACCTGTTGTTATTTCTCCTGATGGTTTGTTTCCCTCATTGTACCGTGAAGGTGAGGTCTTGGATGTTTTTCTGTGTGTGCGCGCTTACATGTTTTGTCTGCTGAAGTAATCGGGTATTATTTTAAGTTCTTATCATAATTTTGGGGCTCCAGCTACATGAGGGGGACAATGCTAATGGCATTCCATCACAGAACCTATAAATGATAGAAGTTGCGATATCTGTTTTCATGTTTATCAGAGTTCCAAGGCTGTATTTCGAGTTATACATTGCATTTCTTCTTTTACTTCTTTTTGATATTTTACAAGTTCCAGCCTGATATAGTCTACTATTTCCACCTTATTCATGGCAGTGATAAGAAGAACACCTCATGAATTCAAAATAGCTTGTTTGGAGGTGAATTCTGAAACACTCGACATTATTTCTCAATGTAGAACAGAACCATTACCGATCAGTCCCTTTACATATGAATTCTTTCGTATACGTGCATTGCAGGATATCAGGAAACTTTTCCCTTCCGACTACAATCCATTTTATGCGGGTTTTGGAAACCGAGACACAGATGACCAAAGTTACAGAGAAATCGGAATCCCAACGGGAAAGAGATTTATTATTAACCCAAAGGTACACATTCTCCATGTCCTACTTATGAGAAAAAACACAAACAAATATTGACCAAAACCTATCTCGGGGTTACCCTATCAACTTTCTAACAATCCGACTCGAAACTGGCAGGGTGAGGTGGTTACAAGTCATTGTATGAACACGAGATCATATACATCACTACATACTCTTGTTCACGACATGTTTCCACCAACATCATTGCTTGAGCAGGTAAGGCGTTAATGTCTCACCTATTCAGATATAATGCAAAAGAACAAAACCAAAAATTGTCTATAACTGTCCCTTATTTGTTTTGGAGCATTCATGGTATCCACAATATTCTAATATAATTGCAGGAGGATTATAACTCATGGAACTTTTGGAAAGTGCCGTTGCTGGATATCGATTAAGATAGTTGATTGTTTAAAGAATAGAGTTTAGTTGTACCAAGGAGATGGCGAGTAGCATAAATTGCCCCATATGTAAGAGATTATTCTGATATGCTTCAAGTTCTTATAACTTGCTCACTCCATTTATATTCTTTAGTGAACTTCAAATGTTTTGTTGGGGTTCATCTTGTAATGAATAGATAGTTCAAGTGCAAAAAATCCAAACCATTTTTAGGAATTTCTTTTTGCAGGATGAGAACCAAATGCGTCTTATGCATGTTGTTGGTAACAATATTACAGAACGAGGGGTTAGCACTGATAGAATAATTAAAATAAAAATTACAGAAAATGAATTTGCACACTGTATCATGGAGAACCACTTAGAAGTAGATTCGCCCTGATTGATGTAATCGTTGCACTGGACAATGTATCCAAAATTAACACAGTATCTCCAAATAGATGACACATGGAGTTTGGATTAGAAGTCGGTGATTTTCTCTCTTTTAAGAATAGAACTCTGAAAAGAAAATAGAGAACTTGGAGAGTAGAGAGAAAAACATTTAGAGAGAATGATTTTCAGATATGTGCATGCGTTGTCAGTGATTAAAAAGAATTATGAACAGATGTTATTCTTTAATTACCTCGTACTATTAAACAAAGTAATAGCTTACCAAAGTCCTTGAAGGGTATTATTTGAGAAAATTTCCGATAATCCAGTGAACGATTGCAATAATTTCATACAAGTGGAACAATAAACAAAAGGAAAATTATAGCTGCTATTATTTTCATTCATAGTATCTGAAATCAAGGACAACTTATCAATGAGTTTAATAGAACAAGATGTTAGGTAGATAAAAAGTTTGAACCTTAACATTAGGAATGAAATAATTAAATTATAAATATCGTCTCATAACATGTTTATGAAGTATTTATTTCAAATTAGTTAGTCATTTCATAATTAGTCTAGTAGAATGAAACATTAAGAAGTCTCATAATATGTTTATGTAATTTAAAAATTTAAAAATACAGTTCAATTTTTTAAAAATTTTGAAATAAAAATTCTAAACTTTTTTTTAAAAATTCGAGACTCACATCAAAGTTTCGACACTCCAATGAAGCCATACTAGTATTCAGCATTACGGGAGAGAATAAGAAGTTTTCTGCTTTCATCTTCAATGATTGGCCTATGGAACTTGTAAGTTATACGAAGAAAAATTGAAGACAAAGGGAACAGCAAGCACGGGAGAAGCGTATTTCATCTTCAATGCGGTCAAATCTAAAAAGGCATAGCTTATCTATCTCAAGTATATCAAGATGCCAATCAACAGATGAACCCAAAGGACAGATGGAGATAGTCCTACCTCTAAAATTTTTTAATTCTCTTTTATATATATATATATTGTGTATTTTCTATTGATAATCTGTTTTTACCCTTTGAAGTACTATAAATTCACTCCCTTCAGAATTTTATAAGTTCGACCTTAACATAAAATCTTACATCCGTCACTACCGATCAAGAAGAGAACTATGTGGAAAAACTATTGCAGTACTCACTGGTACTCTTCCTTTGTTGTCTTCCAAGAAAAGGAAAAAGAACTGTATGACACTGAGAATCTTGTGCATGTAACCTGGGAAAAGCACAGCAAAATACACAGATATTTCAATTACTTTTAGGTAAAAATGACATCAGTTAGTTAAATATAACACTGCTGATAGATAATCTAGGTAATCAAGCCAACTCATTGACTGATTCCTTAATCTGTTGAACAACAAAAATGAACTGTCTACATATTCTCTGCTGTTTTTGCTGCCATTCTGCAACTGTTAGTCAAATCTATATACGTGAGATAAAGAGTTTCTAGTGTGCATTAAAGCTCAAACCGCGTAGAGTTTCTTGTGCTCATTGTTTAGAATCTCTGTGTCAGACGTATATGGTGTAGGCAATGACTGAGTTCGGCTAGTCATCGAAGACCTACGGATGCTCCGAGTTCTGGAAGCCTCGATACGGTTCACGACCACCCAATAACACAATGTCCCCAATGTCGATACCATGATAACAGTCCCTATACCGGTAATAAGGTTAGCTAACCACCTCTCGTCTTCTCCGACTACAACGTACGAGAGGGCAAGAAATGCAACTGAAATCAGCACACATGCCAACCACATGAGCTTATTAATAACTGCCATCATCTGCTTCTTGGCCTTTCTCTGTATAACTACAACCGAGGTCTGTACTACTACAACAGCCAATGATATGAAAAGGGCTATGGAGTCAAAGACAACAAAGATCATGAATGGCAGTTTTGCGGCGATTCTTGCTTGTCCAGGGGAGACACCTGGTGAGATGTCTTCAGGACTGTCGGTGTATTGGCCTGGGACATTGAAAATGGCAGCAAATGCAACCGAGGCAATGAGAATAGCGACCACCGTGCTGGAATTGATAGCATTATTGAGACTTTCGACATGCATTTTGTTGAGCCGCTTAGCTATTCCTTGAACGCGTTTTCTTGTTTTGAATGTATGCTCTAGCTGGTTATGAACTCCATTCTTTATATCACTTACAGTTTGTTTTAGTTCTCGAGCTGAATTTGCAGGATGCGGCTTGATGGATTTGGCAGATTGGACTCCATGCTCTTTTAAGATACATACCATATCAGATAGCTTATTCTTCTCTGCACTATCAAGAGCCGTTTCCCCAGACTTGTTGATGATCATTTTGTGAATTCCACAGTCATTTAGCAGCTTTTCAGCAATCTGAAAGATTGAATTAGTGATCAGAAAGTTCAATCCTAAAATTATAGAGACATAACAATTAGTAAAAGTTGAATCCTCATTACCTGAAGCCGACCCTTTCGAGTTCCTATGTGCAAAGCTGTGTTGCCCTTAGCATCAACCATGTTTATTAAAGAAGGATCCGACTTTATCAGCACATCTACCACTTCAACATTCTGTCCTTTAACAGCCACATGCAAAGCTGTCTGGCCCTTCTTGTCGATTCTTGTCACGATTCCAGGTTCTCTAGACAAAAGGGCCTTTACAATCTCTAGATGTCCATTTCTAGCCGCCGAATGCAAGGCGGTTTTCCCGTTGCACCGTGCTATCACAGCCACGTTGCTGCCTTTTTCCAAGAGGAAATTCACCACTTCAGTGTGGCCCTGTGATGCAGCGGTGTGCAATGCTGTGGTGTTATAAGAATCAGAAGTCATTGAAAGATCAAGATTGGCCTCCATGAGAATCTTCAATACCTCTGAGACGTTAGACAGAAAAGATTCAGAAAAGTATATATATGTATCCCCAACGATATTCCGATAAACAACAACACAAGTACATTGTTCACTACCAATCTTGCAAATCCTTAAACCCGAAAAACAGAAATATCGCATACGATATTTGCTAAAGAAATTGCAGGGTTGGACTTCCATAATTGTTCTTAATATCATATCCGACATAATTGTGGAGTGAAAAGCAAACTAACTCACCCAAGTTCCCTTGCTTGGCAGCAATATGAAAAGCATCAAAGCCATTCCTTGCTTTAACACCAGCCAAAACAATGTCATGATACTTCATCATCTCCTTCACCAAATCGGCATATCCACATTCAGCAGCAACGTATAAGGCGGTTTCGCCGGATTGATTCCGCTTAGACAACAAATCCTTCAACTCTCCATCCTCGCCACTACCACTAATTATCTCCAAAACCAATTCGAAATCTCCTGCTCTCACCGCCGAGTGCAGCGGCGTATCGTCCTTTTTACTCGTCAATTGCTTTGTCATCTTCTTTTTCTCAAAGCTTAGCTCTTTCGCCATAGTTTCTTCTCCCTCCCCAAATCCAAGCTTACAAAAGAACAAGAAGCTCCTTTTCCCCCCCTTTTTCTTTGATGTTTCTGATTTCTTTCGAACCAAAAACTTCAATTATTCACCATACAGAGATCAAAAACATCAAGAACCCCTGAAATCAATATAAAAAAGATTTGATTCAGAAAAAAATTATGAGATATTAATGGCGCATGCACATGGGAGACCTGATTTTCCTTGATATCATCAACCCAAATTCAGTAGCACATAATTTAATCTGAAAAATGAAACCCACTAATCTCCCACACTCATCATTATAATATCCATAATTCATAACTAATATCTGATTACCTATAATAATTGCCAAATATCATAAATAAATAAAAAAGTAAACTATTGATCAAACACTGTAACTTTCGAAACTCTGCTTTAAGTTTGAATCTTTATCTTCATTCAATGAATCAAAGACGACAATCATAATTGGATAGTTGAATTTCACCCAACTATAAAGTCAAAGAACCCCAAGTGAAAAAAAAACAAAGTAAACAAATTAAAATAAATAAATGGTTCTTAATTTTCCTCTTTTACTTACCTGTGGTTCCTGGCTTTGAGAAGGAAAAAAAACCCAGAGCTTGCTTCTCTGTCACAGAAACAATTCATCGAAAAGAGAAAAAAGAAAGAAAGAACCTTTGAAGGGTCGCAACAAAGGGTTTGTTTAGAACAAAAAAGGGGAAGAAATTAGGGGAAAATTAGAAGCAAAAAAGGACAAAAGGATGGTGGCTGGCTATGGAGTTTTTAGTGCAAAAAGCTTGCAAGTAACTAGCCAACACCGTTGAATAAGAAGAGAAGTTGAAACATTGCCGTTGGATTATCTTTAACACCCCCAAAGTTCGGTCGGCTCGACTGTCGAGTGCGACGTAGTATGCGGTTAGGCCAATTTATTCCGTGTAAGCAAGTCAAATTAACGACATGCATCTGCCACCAATCAATTAACTAGACCAGATGTTTCAAACTCTTAATATTAGAAATTATCTTCAATTGTCGGCTTTTAATAATTATTTTTCTAAATTATTAATATTATTCATTCGGACAATTTCTCATGTTTAAGGACATGTTTTCAACATTAAAAGTGGCATAAAATGTGTTTACAATACGTGGCATAAATGTTTAGGTGGGGGGTTGGCAAAAAATGGTTAGTATAAAATACAGGGGAATTATTTTTTGAAATGAGATATTTATTGTAATGTTATTGGGAGATGTACGATTTAATAGGCATTTTGCAAAGACGTAGAAATTATTTGACGTTTTTGGAAGACATTTGAAAGACAAGACAACTATTGTTTTGTAATTTTGTTAGATTTGATGTTTCAATTACAAGTAGTTTGAAAAAGACATCCAACGTCTTCTTTCATTCACTGTTCATT